GAGCGGTCTGTTATGTTGCTCTGAACTGATATCTAATTTGTTTGTTCCTCTTTCCCACTGAGTAACTGATAAACCTGCCTCTATTCTTACTCAGCTTTCTCAAGAAGAACTGTGAGAGATGACTTGACAGATTTGCTGGTTCCATACGGTTCTGAATAGCAGCTGCGAAAGCTTGTTAGTGTGACTGCACCGCTGGCTGGCCAACTTTGAATAGTACCTGCACTAGAGATTTTCATCTGCTGGCTGGCTAGGGAGGAGCATTCTTCAGTTACCATCTTTACAACAGTACTGAACAGAAATTAGGGGGGGACACCTCTATAAATATATAGCATTGACTCCCAAATTTTAAGCTACTCATCATCAGTGATTTTTTTCATCATCAGAAACTTTTTTCAAAATGATCTTAGATAACATCATCCTGTTCAGCATGGCATAGTAATACATGATCAGTTAATACAGAGGAAGAGATTCCACAAAAGATGTGCCACAAAGATGTTATAGGCTGTGTACAGTCTCGCTTGTTTCCACCGATCTACTGCTCCTTATAATTAATCATTCCTACTGCTCTCACAACTAAAAAGTAAACAACGCTATCAGACAGACTGGGTATCAACTGTAAAGCACATCTTTGGACTGCAGAACATGATAAATTTTCTTTTACAAAACTTAGTATTATTTAAGAAGATACTTGGTTGATACTTACAGCTCGCGCTGCTAGTGTCATTAGTACGCCCGTTAAAAATGTTAAATAATATCCTGGGTAAACCCCATGCCAGATGGCCGAAAGGATGAAGGTTTGGATGGTTGGGCTGAAGGTGGCTCGCTCATAGCACACTCTGGCAAGTCAAAGACAATTCAAAATAAATAACAAGACAAATCACCAACAATCTTCCCAGTTATCATTTAGACATTTCTACTTTTAGCAGTTTCATCTCCAACACATCATTTGCAGTGCAATTGCAGTTTACTATTATTTAATAATGTTGCCACTGTATTATGACTTACAGAAAATACTTAAAGCTATTCACAGGTCCCAATTTAACCCCTCAGTGCTAACCTGTGCTCAGTGCCATCACACATAGTACTTATTTACAATGAAGTGGTAAACAAGCATCCAAAGTCAGGTGTTGGTGTTAACAAGGGATCTTGAGCCATCCAAGAACATGTTTGAAATGCTACGCTGGAAAGCACAGACTATCCTGCAAACTCTTGTGATGAGTCAGATACGTATTTTTCATAAACTGAAAGCAGCTTACAGGAGAAGGGGAAAAGTAATAACTATCTTCAATTTTGAATAGAGAGACTACAGTTGAAAATGTGTCTGTGTAGGGCAATTACATGAGCATGACGATGAAATTATAATTAATGACTCTATTGATGTGAGAATATCAAATAAGGAGAATGCTGAACTCTGCTATTTAAAAATTGAGACTCTGAATTATTAGGCAAGGTCCTACAGTAAGGAATTCTAGAAGGAAGAAGGGAAAAAGGAATCCAAGAAAAGGTAGTTTCTAGGAGACAACATTACATGACACAATGACAAACCATCATGATGTGGAAGAATGATAGGAAGCATGGTAAGGTCCTGATATGGCTTCATCAAGAGTTCTTTAATGTCTTTAATGATCTGAAAACCAAAAAGCAAAATATGGAAACAGATGCGCTCTACCATGAAGCAAAAATAAACAGCACAAGCATGCATGAACACAAATCTAAGGCTAACATACAAAAATGAGTTTTAACTAAAAAATTCCACAGACACCTATATGTAAAAAGGTTTTGTAAACACATAGCAGGTAACAGAGAGAGAAGAGAACGCACGTCTATCATTCAAAGAAGACAAGCTAATGATACAGAGGGCCGAAACATTCACTACTAATATAACTACTTTACTACGACTTCCGTATATGCAAAAGATTGCTGAGACCAAATGGTACAGTCACTGTTAAAGAGCAGAAGTGGAAAGATCAAAAGTATATTTTGCTAATTTAGTTTATTCCAGTCAAACAGATGTGGTAAGTTTTATCTTATGAGGTCTTCAGCGCGAGGTACCAGCACAGCCCCCTCCCCTTGCCAAAGGGCTTCCCTAACAATAGCCATTAAGATGAGAACATTGGGTGTAGGTGCACACATGCGTAGGACAAAACCACCTGAGGATCTCTGCCCAAAATAGGCCACCTTAAAGAGGAAAGCAACATGGGGCAGACTAAGCAGTAGCTGAGGAATTTCAGAAAGACTTTTAGAGACAAAGAATCTGTCAGCCTAGAAAGTACAAAAGCATTAACAAAAATCGTAACAGGTCAGGGAGACATCTTGGAGCAAAATACTAGTCATCAAAACCTGATCTGATGCTGCCAGAAGTTGCCCCACTGGCATCATGACCTCTGTCTCAGCCAAGACAGAGCATCTGCCCTGGTAGAGTAGTCTGGGAGTAGCCTGCATCCAGCCAGGGGACAGTCAGTGCAGCATGCAGTACACAGGCAGCGATGTCTCACTCCCCTCGGCTGCACCGATATGAACTTGTGGCACGCTTTTGTAACCAGCACGCGAACAGCGCGGTCACGTAGAGCTGGAGCACCCACGTCTCCCACAGTGCATACAAGCAGGGGGCCCACGCTTCCAGAAGGAGGTGGGGTTTTGTATCCCACACGTCTTTGGGAGCGGAGGTGCAGTTTGCACAGAACTGTGTGTGAACATGTGCGCTTTTTAAACTCCTTGGGATTAGTTACAGAAGAGTGTTTAGAAATGTTTATTCAACCAGAACACTAAATGCATACAAAGTGTTTTCTGTTCTAGTACTGATATTAATTAATTCTGAGTGTATATTTCACTGACTGGTGGTTAATTATGTCTCATTAAGAAATTGATAAATGGCTTCAATCTTTATTTGGTTTAAAATACTCTAAGCAAATCTTCCCCTGCAAAGCGTTCAGGAGCTAACAGAACTAAATTAACTAACCAAATTTCAGCTACATCAATGCAAGTCAGATAAGATATCTACTAGAAAAAATCATCAGGCTTCAATTTCAAAGAATAAAAAGTAAGCTTAAACTCCTCCATGGATTTGTCAATAATAAATTGTGTGGAAGTGATATTGATATTCACTTGATATTCCTAAAAGCAAACCAAGGAAATATGGTCATCACAACCACTGAAGGTGGTTGAGAAAATTAAAATACAGGTGGTTAGGTTATGTTATGTTATCTGCCATTTGCTCTAGAAGTGGGAAGATGCATCAACTGTTCAGCAAGGTGCTGCCTTTGGTCTGATTCTATACTTTTAATACTAGCTTCGGTGCTAGACTGAGAAGTATATTGTTCCACCCTGCCTTCCCTTTCTTTTTTGGGGTGGGTGGCAGACGGACAAGATCGGCATTGTTTTCTTAGCAGACAGAGCACCAGAATCCGAAATGACCTTGAGAGACTTGAATGATGTTCCGAAATGAACAAGATGAAGTCCAAAGTATAGAACATCTAATATGAAAAGTGGAAAATACAGAGCAGTACCCACCCCTGTAACATTACTGAGAAAGTGTAGCTGAGTATGAACAGGAATGAACAGTTCCATTCACCGAGCTGATGAAACACTGAGCATCAGCTGAGCATGAATCAACACTACATTGCCGCTGCAGAAAAGACAGACATAATACTGTCATGTATTAGAGTGTTATCTAAGAAAAGGTAACTAATCCACTCAAATCATTCAACTCTGCCTGTGACAAGCCAGGGAAAGACCCTGGCGGTCTTATCAGAAGTACTACATCCACTGTAAGAAGATGGAAAGTTTGGAAAGATGCCAGAAGCGAGCAACAGGAACCACAGAGGTTTTGCAACTGTGACCAAAGACAAATGGAATTATATGTTTTCTTTGGAAAAAAAAGAATGAACAGGCTGAGGGAGAACGTAACAGCTTCCCCAGTCAGGAAACATGATCATGATATATATTGTTGAAATATGCTGCTATATAAATATCTATTTTAACTTGCATGCTTGTAACAGTAATACCTTTGAACTGCTGCATTTTGTGATCTACATTAAATGTTTCTTAAACTTCTTTGTGATCTCTAGATCCATTAACTGTGTTTTTACAAAGAGTTTGTTTTTACACATAATCAGGGTTTAAGTCCTGTAATTCTGATGGTTCAGTTTCTCTTTAGAGAGTATCAGAAAAAAACAGAACAAATGCTGATGTCTGGTATTTCATGTGAGATAAGTGCTTAAGATTTTAGGTACTTCTGTAAGTGGTAAGTAAGGTATTAAAGTGGATGTTTAAAGTAACACATAAGCTTGTCCTCTATTCAAACTGCTGTAGTATTGCAACTAACTACGATTGGTAATATGATATATACTCTGTACCACTATTTATGGTCCTCATATATAATCATTAAAACAATCTTTTACTTGCGACAAAACTTTAAGAAAAAATCCACCCTTCTCCCTTTCACTGTGGCAGAATCAGTATTGATTTAGACTATGCTCGAAGATTCTTCTACAATTGTTCTTAAAAATATTTATTAAAGGAAATTGTTTAGTTTTTCTTTACATCTTCTTTTAATGTCACCCTGAGCAACTGATTGCAGTTTTTTTTCTTTCAATTCTTAACAGAAATGTTGCTCTTCTCCAGTAAAACGAGTTTTTGTTTAGAATCACTCCATTTAGGAGATCTGAAAGTCTGCTGAAACACAACCTTTTCCTATTAAGTTTTAATACAGGTAAACTTCTGTTCTCCAACTAAATTAACATGCATTTGAAGATAGGTAACTAGCTTTGCTTTATTAAATGATACATTTCAATACCTGCAAGGATGTAATTCTTCCTTGCTGACTGTCCTAGCAATAGATTCCATTGCCTGTTGAGCCAACCAGAATAATCACATAAAATTCAATTTCTGTTTTTAATTGGGTCAGAAAAATATTTAAGGAAGAAATTATGGAAGAAAGAGAATACACTATAAAGAAATTTGATGGAAGAAACATTCTGTGTCCAGCCATCCTAGAATAAGAGATAAAGTCCTCTGAGTGTTCCCAAGATGTGGGTCTCAGTTAAACTTGCACCTATTGATAAAGGTCAACTAAGCAGAGACTGGGAGAAGGGAAACAACACCCACACACTGCTCAGGAACACTTTTTTAAACTTTCTAGTTACCACAAAGTAGTAGTAAAAGCAGAGTGACGTAGTTCACAGAGCACTATACCTGTTTCCCAGACAAGGAAAAAAGTGCACCTGCAGGATACTCATTTGCAATTTCTGTTAATAGCATATCGCAGGGGGTGACATTTGCCACACACTCATTATGGAAGGAGCACAGAAAGTTCTCTCCCAGAATGTATGGAAGCTCCTGTATCACTGTTTGGCTAAAAATAATACAGAGCTTCCACAGGCTAAGATGTACATTTTGCCTGCTGCTCTTAGCAACATGCAATGCTTCGAATGGTAAGAGAGGAAAAACAGAAAAGAGACGTCTCCACAGATTAATGGGTCTAGGTTCCCTATGACCAGTGAAGAAAATCAGTTTCTATCATAACCTGGTAGTTCAGACTAAGAGAGAAGCCCTAAAGTCAGGGTTTTAATTCAAATATCACAAGAAGAATGTCCTGTGCAGTTGCTAAACAACTGATGTTTTGTGGGGTTTAGCTTTAAATGTTAAATTATCTTCAAAGAAATATTTATCGAAGAAACTTCAGTGGAGAAAAGCTTTCCTTTAAGAAATAAATACCTTTTAAGCCAAAGAGCTGTTTGGATATTCCAGTTATCAAGAAACATCTTGAAACTTGTGGAAAACTGTAAAGTAAGAACAAATTAATTATTTCCCTAATTGTCAAGTGTTAGAAAATATTTCAAAATTCTGACACATAAATTATAAAAAAATACCAAACAAATTTATGATGAGTTGAATAAGGTATATACTCAATTACTTATAACCGCAAAATATTTTGGAAGTCAACTGACAAATAGAACATATTCAAAACAGACTTTATTTTCCATCCTTTCCTAAGGATGTGAACATGTAATTTTTGACTTGGAACATATTCACTATCTTGAGGAAAAAAACGCGTAGGAAAAGTTACTGAAATTACAAGCACCTACCTACATGGGCACATATTTTATTTGAAAGAGCCAGAAACAAACCTCTATTTGCTGGATTCTCAGATTTGATACTAGATCCCAACGTGTAACTCCATTTTTATCATAGCCTCTAAAACCAAACCCTGCTGCATTATTAATTGCATCTGCTGCAATGAAACAAAAAGAAACAAATTAATTATCAACTGCCTGTATTACAAATTGTGCATCACACAATGTGTAGTTTGTTCAAAATATCACATTTTAAAGGCTACATTTTTTTTTTTTTTTAAATACGGAGGATCACTGTATTTGACACTTGAACAAACAGAAAATAATCCAAGCAATGCACTGGCTTTCAATACAAAAACTTGTACAAAAGCAGAAAGAGTGAAAGGTAGCGCTATCTGCTTCACAGTAGAGACACCTCCTCTCTCTATCACCTCCTTAGACTTGCTTGAGCAATTTGACAGAAACAATGAGATGCATCATGACTATGGAACAGTGGCTGGTTGTAATGATTTGAGGTACCAGCTCAACACTCAGAAGCATATCTTTGGTCTTCATTATGTAGCAACCGTGATGTTTAAAGCATAAAGATAACATTATACGAGTCGCTTCAAGCAGGCGCACAGTCACAGCGCAGTGCAAACCTAACAGAAGGAAACAGGGATTTTACTAGGGCACAAGGCCGCTGGTACAATGCTTCTGAATGAGACGTGTTTACGATACGTGTCAAAGGTCAAATAGTTCAAAGCAAACAGTATTTTTCCCTAGGAGAAAAAGCTGCTACCATCCTCTGGACCATGCAGGAAAATACAAGGGATCTCAGTCTGAATACCGCCTCTCGCTTTCAGTCATTACCTTTGCCTCAGCTTTGTTAGCTCAGACACTAAAATTTCCTCAGCTACACTTCTCCAATTAGGGTGGCCACTTAGAAGGAAACGAGTCTTTTTTCCCCCAATACTGCTTTTGTGGAGCCAGGCACTTGGTTGCATGCACCCAAACATGGTCACACATCCACGAGGCATGAACCCAGCCATGTATCCACTTACGCGGGTAAGTGACCATGGGGAGAAGAATGTTAGCTCCTCTCCCAGTTCAGAGGAGTCCTAAGGAACTGGAAGCAAGGCAGGCAAAAGGCTCTGCAGAAGCAATACAGATCTAGTCCTCTAGTTACAGGCCATGAGCCCTCTCTGTTAGCTCAGAATTCATCTCAAGCACTGTAACTAGATAGTCACCTTTTAAATTACAGCTAGCAAGGCAAGAGAAATTGCTCAGTTTGTATTACCATATTAAAAATAATTTGCTTTATACAATAGTGACATGTAAGAGAAAATCATATCTTTTGCATTTTCCTGTCTTCTCAAACAACTTTTTCAAGGTATTAATCCAGTGTATTTCGAAAGTAGAAGACACAATTGACTCAAACACTCCAACAATTCCTTTCCTGAAGTTCGGTTTCTCCAGTTATCTACCAGTCTGGAAGAGAGCTTTGTGACATTTGATTTCATATAGGATAATTTATAATATTTTTAGTTCCTCATCATAAACAATTTTAAAGAAACATCTTTGAAAGCCACAAAATTTGCTGCTATACATCTGATATCATTGATGTCGACTTCAAACATTAGACAACCATTTTATGCTCAATTAGAAAGAGCTGAAGACATGAACTCCATCATCTCTTGCTAGCTAGAGTACAAAGACTACGGCTAGCTTAAGTACTCATTTTATTTACTAGTATTCATGTTAAGTAATTCATTTTATTAACAGATTATTTTTTTCTTAAGTGCAAAGAACAGTAATGTACAACTCAAAAGCCCAACATCCAGTAAAACTGTTAAGGCCCTCTCACATTCTATTCATACCACTAGAAGTTTAGATGAGGTAAAGTGGAGGGAAGAAGGCAAAAAAAAAAAAGCTATTTAGCAAATTAAAAGTACACAGTTCATATAGTTTATTTTCTTCAGTATTTCACCAAAGGAATGCTAGCTCTACACTACTAGCAAGTACATAAGGAGAAATCCACCTGAAGTATTACAGGGAAAAAAAAACAACGAAGATTATTCATTTTTCAGATGACTCCTTCTCTTTACCGACAATGATACTGGTGCATAAGAAGACAATATTCAAAATTATTCATTCCACAACAAGCCCCAGAATTGCTATATCCAGACAAGCTGAAAGCACTCCATTCATTGACCAGGAATGAAACCAGCAGCTGTAAATGAGTCATGCTGCTCTGCTACACTAAAGCTTGCTTTATTGCATTGTTTCCCACAGATTCTCTCTCAAAAGAATTATGAAACAAATATGTAAAACTGGAGAAGAAGAGGAAGCTGATGAAATCTGTTTGGTGAGCCACTTCCAAGATGTCAGCTTACATAAATACAGCATTTTGCTGGTTTATGTGTTGTTTTTTTCAAATAATGTGAAGTGAAAAGCAAAGCGTTCTTTAAACTATATTATCTATTCAGTGTCTTAAATCAGTGACAACGGGTGTTACGCCATCAATCAATTAGAACTTTCAGTAAGCAAAGGCTAAAACTGAAGTGTCACCTATCTAATTCTGAAAAATACTACTGCAAATGCCATCTACTATTAACAACACTGTGTTATATCTGAATTTCAGTATATTCATTTTTCCTTCATGCTTGAATAACATGAAGTAAATTACTGATAACTAACAACAGGAAGAGGCTTAGAATAACTTTTCAGATATGTTAAAATCAAGGTATTTAAAAAAAAAAATAATCAGGGATTGTGCATCAGACTAGATTTACTACAATGTTTAAAAACCAAAAAAGTCATTGGTCATTAAAACACTATCGCTCTCCAAAAACCCCTTATGTTTCACTCAAATTTGTTCAGGAGACAATGATCTCATTTGCAACACTGTCACAACACTGTGCTTAGATTTATGGTAAGTTTTGTTTCTCAAAAAGAGACACACCATTCAATAAACTTTCACACCGCCTCTTAATACCTAAATGCAATAATGTTTTCCTAAGGCCTCAAGAGGGCACTGTCACTTTTTAATACATGCTTAGTGTGCAGCATCTCAAATGAAACTCACTACGTACACTTTTTTTTTTTTTTTATATATATACACACACACACACACACACTTACCTAAAGTCCATGCAAAATAATACTTGGGTCTGGCAGCCATAAGAGACACATATAGGTAGAAAAACCTTACAGGCCATGATGCTGTAGCTCTGAAGTCATCATCAATGTTGTATTCCACAGGTAAAGTTTTTGTAATAGTCATGTGGAAGAGTAAGGACAGTCCACAGATTAAGAGTTTCTGTGCCACAGCTATCTGAAAAGTTTAAGATGGGAGACTTTGTAAGCTTCATTTTTTGTTAATCTTCTGCAAACAAAGGCAAGTTACAATCTTCCTTCCCTAAACAGATGTGTGTGTATATATATGTCAATTTTGCAGTAATATATACTACCAACATTTTATAGAGACTCAAGGAATATAGTTATCTTGATTAAGTTGTAAGCACCACTTCTTCTGGCAAACACAGACAATCCAATCTGACTACAGCGAGCCTCTAAAAACCCTTTCAATAATGGGAACACCGTTTGCAACTCCAGGGTTTTTTTTCTTATTTCATTGTCAAACTACTAAAGCAAGTAAGTTGTTAAGACATCATAACACAAAGCATATAATCTAGGACAAGATGAGTACAGTTATTGCAGAGATTCCAAAAACAATGGCAAAGTTTCAGTTCATTTTCAGTAATCTTTGGCATAACGCAGGTGTTCAATGGCTGCCCAACTCAATGTATCAATCATCTCTGTTAGATTAGAATAACTAAATTCTAAACCAACTGAAATACTGAAATAATGTATGAATCTAGAGGCAAAATACCTCAGTTCTATATAGACCTGTTTTCCCAACTAGAGCGATCAAACTATAAGGGGTCAAATAATGCGCTCACAGACATGTAAATACGTTATTCAGGTAGGATCTGGACTCAGATTTCCCCAAAATTCAGTTTTGCTATAACCACCACACTGAAGAGTATATATTTTTAGGAAAACATTTCTAAGGTTCTGTTATAAACCAGAGAGCAATACTGCATGACATTGACTGCTTTAAGTCACTAGTCTGATCCACATCCCAAGGGCAGATAACATGTTCTGTGCAGGCTCATAAAAGTACCACACTAACCAAGCACCTACAAAAGAGAAGTTTGAGAGCTGGTTCATTTAAATGTAATTTTCAAATTCTGATTGTATGTAAATTCAGTATTTAAACATTACAATTTAAATTTAACCATTACAATTCTACAAACACTAAACTTGGTGAGAAAACAATCAATCTAGCTATTTTTCTTTGAAAAAATCAGAACAAAAAAGACAACCAGAACCCTTTTCCTGTCCATCCTGCTTCCAGTGTACCTGCCCAAACTTTTAAAGACAATGTCCTGCTTCAGTTAGAGCGCAGCTACACATATCTAGTTCCAAAATAAAACAAATAATTCTGTTCCATGATACAGAATGGAGCATTAAGCACCCAACTGAAAAGACAGATTTCTGCAAGACACACAGTATCAAAGATTCACCCAGTCACACAGATGTAAAAGCGGTACAACCTGATCAAAAATTAGACTTGGGAAAGCTGAAAAATGGTGAGGGTAACACTTCAGATATTGCACATATTTCATGTGGCTCATCTCAGAAGGTATTTCAGAAATATTTTCAGATTAGAAGACCCAGCTGGATAATTCGGGAGGCAATGACCTATTAACAGCTGGTGTTTAATTATTTGTTTTTACTAGCTTTCTAATAATCTTCGTTTAAATATTTTACTCTATTATAGGACTTCACAGTAAAGGGTACTAACTTTCTAAAAGTGTTCCTTTGTTTTTCTAGTAACTCTTAATCCATCTCTTTGCCAAAGCAGAGGGAAAGTTCAGCTGGCTTAACTTCTTCAGGAAGTTAAATAGAAATGAGTGTTCAGAAAAGCCATTATTAACGCTAATGAATCTTTAATTTTGGCATGCATTATCTAATACACGCAAGAGTTGGATATTTGTAAATATTTGTAACCCCAAAGTTCTGAAGACAGTGGCAAGGATTTAGCATCAAAGTCTAAGCCATAATTAAAAGTCATGTCCAATTTAGCATGAGAAACAGTATTTATAGGCTGGTACATTAACATGCAAGTTAAAATATAAGCATAAACAGATAAAAATAAGTGTTTTCCATCTGAAGATCTCTACAAAGTCTCCAAATAAGCAATGTTTTGACAACTTATAAGCAATTTGATCTCTGCTGAAAGGCCAGCTTTCTGCCACTGTCACTACCAGTTTTTCTATGCACTATCATTAATCTGCCTATTCAACCCAAAATATGCTTAGTACCTCTTTGAAGGATTTTAACTAAATTGTGGAGGTGAAAGCCCTTCTTTTAAGGAAAAGCATCAGAGTTTCAACAAAATTTAACTTAAGGAAAAATAATGAACTCATACAGAGCTCTGCATAAATCGTACTTTTAAAAAATAAACTGCGGTTTTCAAACTGTAGTTGTAGAAAAAATACTGTAGGAGGAATATGCTTTTATTTATTTGTTAAGTATTTAAGTGATGTATTTCTCCAGGTTTTTTAGCAGCAACATTTAAGTGTAGGGACAAGCACAACTACATCCAGAAACAGCATAAATTCTTTTTTTTCCACTTTCAGAGATTAGTATCAGGTATATTGGTGTCCTTCACAAGCAGTGATGGAGATAATCTCCTGCCTCTACAAAGACTGGGAGCTGCAGCTTCAGGACTGGTTTAAGCAGAGTTTCTGAGGGGCAATCCAAGTACAGGCTGCAATGCAAAGAAGCAGTCTTGCCTCGTCTCCTCAAATGATCTGAATCAGACCACAGTGCAGTGCAATGCATGTTATTAGTGCTGCCGGGACAAGCAAAAGACCCAGAACCCGTGGCTAGGACCTGCCGTATTCAGCAAGAGTTTATACATCCGTTGGCATAAATACATGATTAAACTACAGCCTGAGGTTTCTTTATAGCATGCAAGTTTAGAACACATTCACACAGAAATAAAAGTCCTCATCTGACACTAAAATAATCTGTGGTTCAATTTCCTATAGAAATGCATTTGGTAAAGCATTAATTCACTTCCTATTGCTTAATTAACTACCTTATCTTTGCCAAGGCATAAATAGGTAATCACTGGATTGGGCAGTTTTCACAAGGATGAAGTAACTAATGGAAAAGTTTGAAGTTTAATATCATTCACTCTTTAAAGTTTTCAACATATCAAAATAACCGTTAAGGAATTAAAAGACCCTAAGTTGCAAGGTATCTTTGACATCATACAAAGTAGAACATACAATTTATTTTACAACAAAAAAGGTAGAAAGCTCATTTAGTTTTGATGAACAAAATCTGGGCATACCTGTATAAAAATATCAAATATGGTCAACACTGGGAAGGAAAAAAAGGTACTTAAGCTAAAAGAGACTGCCAGGACAAAACCAAACCTGCATAAATTAGATAGGAATATAATTAGGTTGAAACCTAGATACCTAATCAGAGAAAGGAGTTCAGGAACAGCTTACTAACTGAAGCAATTGAAGGTAAAACACTCACTGACCTCAGGAAATTTATAAATATATCACTGTATAAACAAGTATAATATATAAAACTATATACAGAAAACAAGAAAATGATCTTTAAAACTTTTGTTTGAATGAACTTGTTCTTGGTTGATAAAGAATCAATAAGGAACTCAATATAATACTGAACTATATTAGAACATATTATTTGGGGGAGGTTAGCACCTCAGTTAAAAATTACAGGTAATTAAGCAAGAACTTTATAACTTGTAGGAAGAATCTGCATAATAAGCAAGAAAGTAGGTATCTGCTGACAGGAATCTTGTATTTTAAGGGTAGCCATAATAAAAAGAAACTTACAAAGACAGATATTAATTTCTGAGAGTTGACACCACTTTGAGCACCAACAATTGATAGCTTGCAAAAAGGCACAATAGGAGGGACATAAGAAATAAGTTTTAATATGTTGACTTGATTCATTTAACATGCAACGAACACAGCAAAAAATATTAAACCAAGTTAACATCATGCAGTCAACACACAGTATAGAGGAGGAGGCTGGCATGAACTACTTTGGTTATGGAATTTTGTTTAACAAGAAATGAAACTTACTGTAACTCAGCTGAAGGATTTTTTTTTTTCATTTACTACATTAACATTTGCTGATCCCCATTACATTTAATTTTTGATTTACCTAACAATTTATTCTTCTTGAAATAATAACATGAGAATCAAGGAAACAAATTAAAGTATTAATATGAAGTTAATGGTATTTAAACATTTTTCTAGAACAAGACAATGACTATTTTAACTGATACAGCAAATGCAGTAAAATTATATCATCCATATTTCTCCAAAAGCACACAATACTTGCTGGTAGCCAGATTTCTCTAACACCGGTTGGGACATGAAATATCAACAGCATAGATAGCTTCTCTTTATTTTTACGTCAAAAGTTAATGCAGCATAAATTGCAAAAAGTTTCAAGCATCTTAAGAGCAATTCATTTTAAGGAAAACTGCTTACCTGGAAGAAGAATTCATCATAGGTTTACATTTATTGCCTTTGTTCAGATTGCCAGCAAGATTATGTGGTAAAAAGCTAGGAAGTCCTACCGGGCAATCAGTAGATGCATGTCCAGAAGTACTGATACTGGCAGATGGACTACATTTATTTGCAATAATTTTACTAGACAATATTTTTCTGCAGAAATAGGATTTTAGTACAGAACATGTGATGAGCCTTTATTGAGCCAAAACGTTTCAAAACAAAAGAAGCAGCTGTAACTTTGCCAATACAATGCATCGATGCAGACTACAGACTCTGAGGTGCCAGTTGATGCAATGAATTCTCCTGTGTCTTTTGCTTTTCCTAAATACTTGCTCAAGAGATGAGCTTAGGTGCTTTGTCAACATGTGGAGCAGTTAGAAGTGTTATCATCCTCCAGCCACTAGTTTACAATCCTGTGCTGCAAGTAACTGCAACTACAGACAGGGAGAATGGAATGTGCAAAGGGTCCTCCTCCACATTCAAAGGATGGAAGTGGCTGGAGATGACACAACTGATTGGGAAGCACTCCCCGTTAGCCCAGCTGTGGGGATGGTAACCTCTGGATGACAGGACGAGACAAGCAGCTATGCGTGGGAATGCCTTCAACTGCTCCAGCAACAGTTGGTGGTCCACAAGGTAAGCAGAAAACAGGTAATTGATGCTGGAATTGGCAAAAGCCATTTAGCTGAAGTGTTCCAGACAACTCCATGATAATTCTGGTTTTTATATGTGGTAATAATTATCTTAGGCACACACAAATTTAAAAGTCTGATATGCTCCTATTTAAAAGAATATAAAAAGAATTAAAAGATAATATTCAGTACCCTGAGCATTAAAACTAACTGGATTAAATTTGAAAAGTAACAAGCTTCAAGAGCTTTTGATTTTAATTCAGACCATACAATATCTCTTGTAAGGTACGATCAACTGGATTTTCTTCTGTATTTGGTCTCTTTTCCAATAAAGGAACAAAGAGAAAAAAATAAATACGTTGTATGGATTACTAGCCATAGGGTTATGGCTACCACAACTTTTACTACACCTTCAGATCAAAATATCCATCTTTAGTACCTCTCTACATTAATGAAAGCAAGAAGAATAAAACCATTTCTATGAGTATTTTTCAACTTGTTACATATGAATGTTTTCTACATGCTGCAAGCAGACATTAAAGAATAGTAGAATTTGAGAATTTTCATGAAACCTTGCTGGAATTTTGAAGTCTCATCAGCCTTCAAATGACAAAATGCGTGCTTTGTCCTTACCAGGACTTTTTGTGTGCAGAGTATATGCTTTGAAGGAAACATGCATGAACTGTTTCATCTAAAGACAGCTTTTTACCATATAAGCTTGTTAGGAAGTTCCAATTTAATTTGCTTTTGTCCACAAGATCCAAACTGGCAACCATGGAGAAAACCTGCCTTAAAAAAATAAGTATTTAACTTTTTATACAGAGAAGTATACTGTTGATGAATGAACTCCAGATACAGCTCAGAAGTTATGCCTGTAAATGAACAGTGCAAACCGAGCTTTTCATGCAATGATTATGTAAGCATCGGCACTGCAAGAGTCATACATCTTACATTTGGAGAAGGATCCGTTTGTTCATATTTTGTATCTTCCTTCCCATTTGCTTCAGACTGTTGCAGTTGGTATGATCTGCCTTCAATGAAAGTAATATAGTCTTTGTAAGAGCATAACGGGCCTGCCAGGATACCCATGAAATTACAGTTGTAACTTAAATACTCCAGTAGACTTGGCATGCGTCTGTAATTCAAAGACAAGCAACTCGTGAGATGGAATGTGTAGTTCTACAGAGCGTCCACAGTAGGAAAAGTCATACTCCATGTTATTGCTTACTCTAACTGCAGTAAAAAACAAATGTTGTGCGTCTTTTGTAATTTACAACTTAAAGATTCTACATAGCATTTCTTTCCAATCCACACTGAGCATTTTCAGACAGATCTCCTTAACTCTGGTGACTTTCTCCTTGCCCAGTAGAGGCTTTTGACTGAAGCTAAGCCTGGGGAAGGAGGAGGAATGGTGTTTCCCTAAGTGTTTGTTCAACTGTTTTTGTTTCTTCTCCCCACCCCCCCAGCTGAATCAGTAAACAAAGGTTTGTGTTAACTGGCAATAATTTCAATTAAAGAAAATGCCTCAAGTCAAGACTGTTTTGCCCAGGACAACATATTATTTTCAAGTCTCCTGAATGAAGAAAGGAGAAAAGGTAAGTTAAATACTGAAAACCAGAATTAAACGAACATGTTCCTTCACCAGCTACTTTATATGTGTACTAAATGTTAACTAGTCTCCTGTCTGATATGGCATTAATTTGCATAAACTGCATAGAACGTAGAATGTTTTTCTTAAATAAGTATAAAACCTACTTCTAGTGGTATTTTCCAGGAGAACAGATGTATGAATTAAGCTACAAATACAAAAAAGCATGGATCTGTTTTACATGGGTTTGTAAACTCTCTGTCTTGAATGTGAACTGCAGCAACTCCACAGAGCATTAATAAAGCCCAGAAAACACCAGCTTCTCGCCACCCCCAAAACTGGACTCTCAGAGATGTCTGAAAGCCTACCTTACAGCCAAGCACCTCTGTGATGGGGTCAAATCTTCATTTTTCCGAAACATTCCTAGGGAAAAGGACAGGAAAAAGAAAAAATAAAGAAAAGCTAAACCACCTCACATTAATTAGCAGGCTTTTTACTCAGCAGAGCAAGCCTCATGCTGCAATGTAATTTCTTAAGCCCTCAAGTAATTTCAGAGGTATTATGTCACATAACATTTTTGCTGGAGTTCGATCAAACAATTCTTAATGTTGACAAAATTACAAACTCTTGTATCCTCAGTTATATCCAACAGTGCCTAAACCTGAAATCATATGCATTTCAGGAAAGCATTAAGGCGACTTATAATAAGTGTTGACAAATACAACTCCCCTACATTGGTGGAAGATTTTGAAGTCTGCATGTTTTAAAACTCTTTATTCCCAGTCCTGGAAACTGGACAAGCCCCAAACTCCTTTCAACACTGCAGTAACCCAGAGACATTACACTAGCCATTGCACTTTTGATGTATAGTATAAACACAGTCCAAGATAGATTTAAGCAATTCAAAACTCAAGGCAGACCTCAAGAGCTGCAAGTAAAGACTGTAAACGAGGTCCAGGGAAGCAGGCACAACAGCAAAAGGTGCTCGAGTCTTCTTCGTGAGCACTAAGAAGCCCTAACCTCTGCTAGCAGAAGGGGGCAGGCCAGGTCTAAGTACAGCAGCAAGACTGAGTTTACCTTCTTGCAATACGCAGCGCTTTCTGAAATGCTGGTGCCCTACCCTTGAAGGCTTCAAAATTTGTACTCCCATAAAAGAGAAAAGTAAAAAATATGACCCTCAACGCTTTAAATTATTACAAAATATATTAATTCAGGGGCACAGAAGCAGCAGAGCTCCTTCCTTCAGACAGCTCTGGTTTATACCAGCCAAAATGACTGCTCCAGCTCCTTCTGCAGCCTCTCCACTAGTTCAGACATTCGCACATGCATCCATTCCCTCCTAGTCACATTTGCAAGTTTTCTTTGCCACCACAAGCACTAAAAAAAATTTTATTTGTGTGAACACAGCTTCCCAAAGGAAATGAAGTTTATGGAATCTCACTTCAATTATCTTCCTTGCTAGCAGTACCTAAACCCAAAAGCCAATTTCTAACCAAGACTGATGAAAGAGTAGAGGTAACAGAGATATGAAATCCCAGTATGCTTTGTGAAAATAGGTGCTTCTATAGAACAATCCTCCTCCACTGACAGAAAGGTTGCCTTCAATCCCATCCCTTGATGCCAGTAAATCCACAGAGAGGAGCCCTTATACTTGATCCAGGCATAAAGAAAGTTTCAATTGGAGCCAATTTTTTTTTTTACATATCAAAATCAGTCAGGCTTAAGACAAAAAAAGATGGGAGGGGAGGGCAAACTTGTTTAATTCTATGACTCATGGAAATGCACGTTATCTGAAGAGAAGATAACTCTCTTGTCTTTATGTGGCTCCAGGAACTGTGACCTATATGCACTTATGACTTGAAAACTGCATTTCTAGTCTTCATGAGAACACAGAGGGGTTAGCAACTTGCCAACTTCTCTCTTCCAATACAACCTGGAAAAATACCTTCCTCGGTCTTGATGCTTTGCACTGGAAAGTCACCCCCATTCATACCCACTCAAGGAAAGAACCTGAAGGACAAAGCATCACCTCTAACTTCATGCAGGCACTTTCTCTTTCCTATGATTACATTTTCACATTATCTCCTTGGTGCTACAGCCAAGATTTCTATGCTGATAACTGGACTGAATAAAAAATGTGGGAGAAGCATTTTGAAAGGTCCTTTAACCTTTAAGGCCATAAGATTACGGTTCTCAGATAGTGAATCTTTGAATTTAACACAAACTTAAACAGAAGTTTAACACAAAGACTGCTATAGATAGATGTAAATCACACCACATGACTAGCATAGGGAAGTAGCCCCTACAGAGCCTTGTCTCTCACAGCATACACAATGCAAACTGACTGGAGCAGGAGCATCCTTCACCATTATATTCCATATGAGTATTTTACCCTTACGTTAGAAAGAGGAAGCAGTCACCAGGTGTGTCCAAATGAACTCGCATAAAGCCAGACTAACTACTAAATAAAGGTAATTAGTCAAATGAAAGATTTCACATCATTTATGTGGTATTAAAAAGGAGGGAAAAACCCCTCAAACCTAAAATAGAAGAATCTCACCACTGAAATATGACCTATACTTTTGGAGGGGTGAGGAAGAAAGAATTGGAATATTTTAAATTGGTTCAAGTTATATACATACATACGTGAGAAGTCACTTGAGGCCTAAATAACCTGGTGAGCACTTGCTGTCTCAAACATACTGCATACAAGTAAGCCTCCATTAATTTTTCATTCCCCTATTTCACTAAGATTTTCCTCCAGCCAGCAGCTTCTTCGAGGTCAGTTCAGCAGCTTTCCCTGTAATTTTTTCTAAAAAGTCTTCTCAGTGCCTTGAAGGCCCACTTATCATCTTTGCATAGCATGCAAGAACAAGGAAACCATTGATCTCTGCCTGTGTCACACTCTTGAAAGCTTTCAGAGAGCTAGTTAACATTTTTTAATTCAGAGAAAATACATATGGAAAAGGTGCTCTTTCATTGATGCTAATCTGAGATGAATTAATATATAAATTCAATATTTCCCAGGCAATGTATCTGCCCATGGGAACAGAGGCCTCATAAATCATAGCTATTCCCTGCATACTACATGTTGGAGATTAAGAAGTCCCCTTGCAGCAGCACATCACTGCTAGGACACTCATGAAGTTTTGTAACCTTTCTCTGGGGATTGAGAGAATTGTTTTCTCGTGTCCTAAAGCAGGAGACTACTGCAATGGCTGCAGCTTTCAGTTGCTACCAAATCACACAGAGGGGATTAGAGAAAATGGGTTTTATCGAACATCTGTTAGAGAGATGAAATGATTTGGTCACTCAGCAACTATAACTTAGTTTCCTCATCTGTAAAGTAGGAAATACTCCTACATTCCTTCTTCGGTAAAAGAATTTTGTAAATCATCAGTAACAAAATTTATCCCCAGTGGTCTAGATCATGAGGAAGTTGCACCTTTTCGTTCCTCCTCAGGAGGCCATATCCTAACGGTAACAAAATCAACATCTTCAGGTACACACCAATATCTTGCCATACAGGCTTTATTAAAGTATATTATGACTACTACCATGCTCTCACTACAGTAGTACAATGTTTACAATCATATCATAGTACTACTGCAGCTTTGTGGTTAATCTGCTTGAAAATATCCACCTTTGTATTTGCATGAAATCTAGCTAATCAAGTAACTCATTAATAATGCTTAGACATAAGATTCTATTACATTAATAATACTTAAACATGAAGATCATATCACAGGCTCTGTTGTAATTAGAGCAAATGTTAATCTGAGGTTCTGAAATGGATCACTAGTTGAGCCCAAATGCATGCTGTTATTAAAATATTTTAAGACCCGAAGAAGACAGACAGACAACAACAGTTTTAGTTGTTACTAGCACATTGGCAGCAACAAAGGCAAACAGACACAGATGCCAGCTGAGTAAAACTGTAAAGAAACTACAAAAAGCAAGAAAAATCAGAAGTCTTGACATCCAGAGAGCTGTGCAAGTAAATGCAGGCCCAAAACAACACTTGAAGATGCAGGAGGGGAGAAATACAATTCCTTTAAACACTAATGACATGTACTGTAATCAAAGTGATTTGGTAACCGATACTCAAACAATAATGACCATGTCATTACTAACACAAGAGGAAACATTTTAAATAAATTAAATATAGATCAAGAGAAAACTGGAGAGAGAGTATTAAAAGAAACTCACAGACATAACAAGACAGCATCAAGGTACTAAAAAAATAAAACATAAAAACACACCCACACACCACCACACCATGGCAGTTTCACTGACATAATTAACAGACAAATTAGAAAACAACATTCTTGGTTAAACAGCTGCAACTTTTTTGCTGTAATACCAGCACTGATACAGTGGAACTGGGTCATGATGACCGATCAAAACCCCTTAAAAGTACGTGTTTCTGCATACCTAAGTGCACATTTCTCTATCTCAGGAGTTGTTCAATTTTCTCTTGCTTATACTTTCACATCACCACCCATCCAAATACACTTTTTAAAAGAAGTAACAACAACAACAACAAAAGACCTATTTGAAATCAGAAGAGCACGCTGACAGTTTATGAGACCTTTATTTTCATAAACAACAACATTCTTAACTGACTGCCTCTCACTACAACAACAACAAAATCCACTTACTTGCAAAAGTAAGTTGGCCAAAACACACTATGTTCTCTTTTACCATGGGGTCACAGTGTGACAATCAGCAATTCAGCCTGGTGATCCTGTTCTGGTTTTGTATGTATTTAAAATCATCTAAATACAGAAATATAGAATCTGTTCAACAAACATCTAGTGTATAGAAATACATAAGCTGTACATCCCCACTTCTACCCTTTAAGCCAGAGCAGGCCAATACTAAAGCTGTTTGTAAGCCTTTAGAAAGATGTAGTGTCTGAATATGGGGAAGTATTGGCCTTTGAGAAAAGTAAAAGGCAAAGAACCCAGTTAACTTAAAATAAGGTATGTTTATATCAAGAAACATTCTTCAATACTCCTGACACTACTACATTGTTCAAGAACAGCTAACAAAACCACTATATCCACTGCAGTTTGGATGGGACTGCTCATCTTACTAGCTGCAAACCAACATGAAATTTACTTTGTAATTTAAAAAAAAAAAAAAAAAAAAAAGGTATTGTCTGAAAAATATCCCAAGTGTATGGTGTAGTACCACAACCTGACAATGCAGATAGCAACAGATAATTAAGACCATGGCAACTAACGCCGCGTTTGCGCATAAGTTTCTCCAACATCACCTTTGTTTCTGTTTCCTCATTTCCTTCCCATTTTTCATGTGCTGCATCTATCTATTGAAATATCTCTCTCCTCTGGACTGAGACTATATTTACATTATTTTGCAGGGGGAATAGGCTCTAATAGCCTATTTGGAAATCTTACAACTTTGTAATAGTACAATAGCAATATGAGGAAAAACAGCATAAAATAATCCAGCAATTATCCTAATAACATGCTGTTGGAGCAAAGTAAATGAGACCTAAAATACTGGTGTAAGACTAGCCTTTAACTGTATTTCGCAACTATATCACTCAAACAAAAAGGCAGAGGTAAAAAAAAAATATAAAAAAATAATCCTTTGAGTTGCTTATTCATTGTACTCTTTATCTCCTTTTAGTTCTCACAGTAAATGCAGTGCCTTACCAGATCAACTTCAATGTCTACTCTATTGCATTTAAAAATGAAGAGCACCAGATAAATAGGAGGAAATAATAATTAGAAAAAAAAAAAAAACAAAAAACAAAAAACAAGCAGCATTCCAGGAAAAGCACATTTAAAAATTAGCAACTACAGAGCTGAAACGTAAGCTATGAGGGATGAGAGAAGGGTACACACAGGAACGAAGAGGGTTTTTTGAGGTCAGAAAGCATGTGAGATTAGGCCCTGGGAACTAAGAAGCAGCTGACAGAAGAGTGTTATGGTTCTGGTTTCTTACCTGTATCTAGCCACACATTTTTATGGACAAGTACAACAGAGTAATATAAAGAAATAATTTAGAAGAATTAGATTTCATGTTTAGAAGATGGGCGTTATATTAAAAAAATACTTTTTTTTTTTCTTTGAAGTTTTATGTATTGTTTACTTTAAATTAGAGAAAAGAAATAAGACCAAGGTTGGAAGAAGCTGGGATTTTTTTTTCCCCTTTAAAATATTAAATATCAGGTTTAACATTCCCTAGTTTTGCTGGCTGAATCTTTGGAGATTTAAAAATAACCACATTGTGAGCTCTGGAACTTCAATGGATTATGAATATAAACATTTGAAGAGACTCTTTGTTTAAGATTCATTAAGCACTAGAATTAAAACCAAGCTGCCAAAGTGCATACAGATCAGTGAGAGCAGATTTGGATAGGGTCCTTCCTGTAAAGATCCTGAGCTCTTACAGAATTGCAGTAAAATGAGTGAGGCTCTGCGGAGATGAGCAGGTTATAAGCAAAAGAGGGAAAATGCCATATGAACCCATTGCAAGATAGAGTTAAACAGTGACAGAATCTCTCGTCCTCTCCTCTCTCTAACTTTTAGTATTTTATAATTGCAAAAGCTTCTCTACTCTGCTCTTGTGAGACCCCACCTGCAGTACTGCATCCAGCTCTGGGGCCCCCAGTGCAAGAAAGACATGGACCTGTTGAAGCAAGACCAGAGGAGGGCCACGAAGTTGATCAGAGGGCTGGAGCACCTCTTCTGTGAGGACAGGCTGAGAGAGTTGGGCTTGTTCAGCCTGGAGAAAAGGCGGCTCCGGGGAGACCTTATTGCGGCGTTCCGGTACCTAAAGGGGCCTACAGGAAAGATGGTGAGGGACTGTTTACAAGGGCATGGAGTGATAGGACGAGGGGGAATGGCCTTAAGCTGAAGGAGGGGAGATTTAGATTAGATATTAGGAAGAAATTCCTCACTATGAGGGTGGTGAGGCACTGGAACAGGTTGCCCAGAGAGGTTGTGGAGGTCCCATCTCCAGAAGTGTTCAAGGCCAGGTTGGATGGGGCTTTGGGAAACATGGTCTAGCAGAAGGTGACCCTGCCCATGGCAGGGGAGTTGGAACTAGGTGATCTTTGAGGTCCCTTCCTACCCAAACCATTCTAGCTAAGAGATCATAGAATCATAGAAATTTCTCGTGCAAGTAAAATCCTCCATTTTATAGCCTTTCTAAACTGCACCTGTAGACGAAACCCCTGCTTTTAGAATAACTGCAATGCACCTTTCCTCCTCTAAAATCTGCTAGTTTTATGTGATGAAAAAAAGGTACTCCAGAATATAGGATCTGAAGAACAGAAGATTCCTTATCTCCCTTAACTCTGTCATTAGCCTAAAGTGGTGCATAAATATATCTAATTCTTGCAATAAAGAATGGATATGGACATATAAGCAGTCTCCAAATCATGCAAAAATGTTTCTGCCTTTAGAGCACACATGTGTGTTACCAAAGATAATCAGCAAGGAATATAAAGCAAATCTTAACATACTGACTACTTATTTTTGATAGTGCTCATTTAAGTAACAAGAAACTGTAAGAAGGAAAGAACTATCAAGGGTTTAAGTTCAAAATATAAATCAGAGTACACCAAAGGCATACTCTAAAATTTCTCAGGTGCAAATTTGTGATCCATGCAACCTTATGAAAAGTCACTATTATACAGCAAACTTAAATTAATCCTATGCAACTTGCATAGAATTTTCCTGCTTAAAAAAAGCCCACAGTAAGTGCACAGGGTTTTAACAGTTACAGGTGTAGTTAGTTATTTATGGGATTCCATACTCGTGTTCAACTTGGAATCATGAGTAAGTGGCCTTCATGATTACATCCAATTCTCTCCAGGACCTTCAAATGTAACACTGAAACCAGCTGAACACACCAAACAGCCTGCCAGGAAAAGATCAAGTCCAGAAGACTTGCCTTTACCACAAAACCAACCTAGCTACAACTAGAGCCCTGAAGCTTACAAAGATCTTCCAACACACCAATGCCTTTCTTTCAGCTGTTTATTTTCATTACCTCTCCTTGGACATACTGGTGAAAATTGAGGAAGAAAAATAAAGTAACTGGCAATTAATATAGCCAAGTTTATGTGCCCAGAGGCCCAGAGTGTGACTAATCACATAGTATAACGATTTTCAACATTATCTTCTCCTTCGTCAGTATATCAAAGTATTTTCCAGTGGAAGCATGGACTTTTGTACAGTGAAGAAAAACCCATTGACAGCAGGCTTCTTTTGATTAATTTCTCATGATGGACCCCTTTTAAGTTGTCTATGATTAAAAATCATTGCTTTCATACAATCTCAGTTTCCTCTGTACATCTCTTCTTAGCATCTCCTGACATCAGACTCGAAGTTGCTCTTGAATTCACATTGGTCACACAAACTTTTGAAAGTCATATTCACACTGTGCTCCCAGCAACAGTGATCATCCAACTCAAGTGAAGGACTCTGCTAGATTCAAACGCACCCAGAAAGTCTTCCAATATATTATCAGCTACTCCTCACAGGCTGACAAAGACTCCAGAGGGTCTCTGATATGAGGCCAACAAGGAACACAATTTGAAAATCAATACTCAGAATTCAAGGATATCTATAAGAAATTCAGAGAGAAAATAAGCTGGGTTTATGAGGAAAATACAAATTATTTGAATTAAGTAGGAAAAAAAGTGTAGTTTAGTTTGCGATGAAAGAACAGAGCTGACTAAATGAAACATTGAAGATTACCAGGAACACTCACATGCTTGTCTCATACTACAACTCCACTATTTGTGCATGATGGTGGCAAATTGAGATTAGCTCTCTTCCCTAGCAAAATAATAGCATGAGGAAACATTTATCTTTGATACTATAATTATTACTTCCTTATAATAAGCTGTTTCCTTTAACTTGTGTACTTTATATTCTAATTGATAATAGCTTGCAAGACTAATACTTCTGAATGTATTTTCTCTGGAAGTTAGAAATCAACTTCTTTGACTGACTAGATATACCCAGCATTATTTCTTTATTTTTATTCATACAAGAATTCTTACAAAAATGTGTTTTCCTAACTTTTCATATTCATGAGTGTTGTTGCCTACAGGCTTCTCTTAGTGAGAATGGAGAAAAATAACAAAAACAAAACAAAACAAAAAAAACCCCAAACCATGAAGTACCAACAGCACTAAAGCTAGGACGCATATGAGACGAAACCATATTAAACTCCATACATAATGTTACTAAAGGAATTTCAGAAAAACTGGTGGTTTTATCCAGGTGCCTGGGCTTATACTCCCAAATCTTAAATTGACAGCTGTAGCTCCAAGTGATTCAAGCTAATTGGCTAGGTTTATTGTATGGTATTTTCAAACTTTAAAATGAAAATTACTCCTTTGAATTTAAAGGTAACTAAAAATCTAGATACCCTACCCACAAGTGCCAACGTTAGAATTCATTTTTGTCACAACTAGGGCTCACATAGCTGATGGATAAATCTGACAGGAGAAAAGACAGAAACATAGTTAGGTAATCTCCCTGTTCAGACTGATATGTTAGCACAGCGAGTACAGTCATGATAATAAACGAAATGAAACTTATACAAAGGTTTTATAAAAATCAGTATACATGACAAATTTGGGGGAGATTAACAGTTAGCGTTTTAAAACAAGAGGTCCTCAACAACTGGAATTACATGTACTTGCTCTACCATCTGTCACCAATAGTGATCTCTGAATTTGGACATTATTTAGCCAACTCTCAGGATCAACATCCCAGCCCAAAAAAAAGGTCAGTTGTGTCAGTCACTGGCCTCAGAAATGTAATTGGTCTTCTGATAAGTAGTATGTTCTGCACAATGTAAGTATTTTCAGAGCTTTTGTAGCATCTGAGCGACACTTCCTGGTACTTCCATTAGTAAGCATTAAAAAAAAAAAAAAAAAAAAAAAAAAATCAATCGAGACACAAAAATATATTTTCTCCTAAAACACAAACTGAACTAAAGTAACTCATTGACTCATGACTAACTTTCCTTAAATTAATTTTCCATACAAAATAAAACACAGTTTAAAGAAAGCTTACCATCATGAATCTCAAATGCCAAACTAGTGATCTTCTGTGTAATTATCATCATTGGGCTGATGCAAAAAAAGAAGAAAGAATAATTTAGAAAAAAGTTCAGGATTTCCTTTCACAGGTAAGTATCAGCAAAAGCTTAAACTAATAGTCTGGGTTAATTATTCTCAACTGGAAGACTTTCAATGCAAGGACAAAGTGATTAGTTTTTGAAGCTCAAACCATTACAGAATTTTCAATGCAATGAAAAGAATTTAATCCTCAGATATAGCATTTGATAACCCGTGCCTTTCATTGCTGCATTAGGTTCCACAAACACAGCCAAAGCGTGTCAACATTTATTTTCTACTAACATAGTTTCTTTTCTATAGTGGGAAGAGTAAAGAAAAAGGGGCAGTAAGAACAAATATATGCATTGTAAATTATAGCAGTGTCCTGGTTTCAGCTGAGAGGATTGATTTTTCTTCATAGTAGCTAGTGTGGGGATATGTTTTGGATTTGTGCTGGAGACAGCATTGATAATATAGAGATGTTTTTGTTCTATGGACTTATTGTTGAGCAGTGTTTACACGGGGCCAAGGCCTTTTCTGCTTCTTGCACTGCCCTGCCAGCGGGATGGCTGGGGGTGCACAAGAAGTTGGGAGGAGACACAGACAGGACAGGTGACCCAAACTGACCAAAGGGATATTCCATACCATATGACGTCATGCTCAGTTTATAAGGAGCTTGGGGGAAGGGGGGGCGGCGGCATTTGGGGCAATGGCATTTGTCTTCCCAAGTAACCGTTACGCGTGACAGAGCCCTGCTTTCCTGGAGATGGCTGAACACCTGCCTGCCCATGGGAAGTGGTGAATGAATTCCTTACTTTGCTTTGCTTGCGTGTGCGGCTTGTCCTTTACCTATTAAACTGTCTTTATCTCAACCCACGAGTTTTCTCACTGTAACTTTTCCAATTCTCTCCCCCATCCTGATGAGGGGGGAGTGAACGAGCCAGATATAGCATTTGATAACCCGTGCCTTTCATTGCTGCATTAGGTGCCACAAACACAGCCAAAGCGTGTCAACATTTATTTTCTACTAACATAGTTTCTTTTCTATAGTGGGAAGAGTAAAGAAAAAGGGGCAGTAAGAACAAATATATGCATTGTAAATTATAGCAGTGTCCTGGTTTCAGCTGAGAGGATTGATTTTTCTTCATAGTAGCTAGTGTGGGGATATGTTTTGGATTTGTGCTGGAGACAGCATTGATAATATAGAGATGTTTTTGTTCTATGGACTTATTGTTGAGCAGTGTTTACACGGGGCCAAGGCCTTTTCTGCTTCTTGCACTGCCCTGCCAGCGGGATGGCTGGGGGTGCACAAGAAGTTGGGAGGAGACACAGACAGGACAGGTGACCCAAACTGACCAAAGGGATATTCCATACCATATGATGTCATGCTCAGTTTATAAGGAGCTTGGGGGAAGGGGGGGGCGGCGGCATTTGGGGCAATGGCATTTGTCTTCCCAAGTAACCGTTACGCGTGACAGAGCCCTGCTTTCCTGGAGATGGCTGAACACCTGCCTGCCCATGGGAAGTGGTGAATGAATTCCTTACTTTGCTTTGCTTGCGTGTGCGGCTTGTCCTTTACCTATTAAACTGTCTTTATCTCAACCCACGAGTTTTCTCACTGTAACTTTTCCAATTCTCTCCCCCATCCTGATGAGGGGGGAGTGAACGAGCAGCTGCGTGGTGCTCAGCTGCTGGCTGGGGTAAAACCACGACAAGCAGCAGTAAGCAAAGGACAATAAAAATAAGTTGAACATTACTATCATTTATTTAGATACGCACTCCACTTCCACTGTTTCTACTAACACCTAGTCCTATGCTTAAGTTTTCCATCTAGAATTATTATTTGCCTCAAGTAAACCTATCTGGCAAAACAAAAACCGAGCATAATTATGTTGGTTCCAACAGAGTTTAGTTTGTTTTGAATTTGGTACACTTGAGTGGATCTCAGACTGCCCAAGAGATTCTTCCCTGACTAAGAAAGTCTGTTTTATCCTGAGAAATTATACCATCTTTGTAGTATCTAAGAGTTTTTGACTGATCTAAGTCCCAGCATTGCTAACCCCCAACTAGGGGGAAGGAGGGAACGGAGGAAAGAATAAAGTAGGCAACCAGAATTTAGACATTTCACTTTGAAATCAGATCTTGAAAATGTATCAGGAACTGTATTTAGCTAGAGTATCTGAGCTGGAGGTGAAAAAACAAGTAAACAAACAAACAAAAAACCCTACCACAACAAAATAAACATACTGTAGGATGGGCACATAGTTTTGTTCAAGTCTTTTGACTGCGCTTGGCCTTTTTATAACATATTTAAGTTGGCACAGAAAAACAAATCCAAGACCCACCAAGTCCTCCTTCATTGACAGGGCTACACCAGTATTTTGCCAGATGGCTCAGTCTGTCAAATTAATTTTTTTTTAATGTTACGGTTATTTCAAAGCACACAATATTTCCAGTCTTCAAAATGCAATTGTGGAAAAAAGTTTTTTCCACCGTATTATCAGTGCCCCAAAATCCTGATATCAAAACTAGAGTGACAGGCAAGGGTCAGCAAGGAAGAAATCTAACCAAGAACAGACAGTCTGGGAAAATCCCTCCTATCTCTTTCTAGCATTTAAGCTGCAGACCTGCCTGCTGCTGGCAGAAATCCCCAATTGATTCTGAACAGAATAGGTTTTCGTTCTGTAGGTGGACATGTGGCAGCATGGATTCTACCTGGTGGAAGGATGGAGCCCAGGAGGAACTTGGTCAGACCTCACATTAATTCTAGCTGATACAGCTGTCATTTTTATCATAGCAGATCCCGTTTTTTTTCCCCTTTTTTTTTTTTTTTTTTTTTTTTTACTTCTTAAGTGGCTATTCCAGTATCTTCAGAGATTTGGCTGAGGAGCAACAATCTAGAGACTAAAAGGGGAAGAGTCCTTCCTGGAACAGTGAGGCTGTGAACCAGGACTTTAACAGTCCCTTTTAGGTGCTGGCAGAAAGGCAAAGGAGGCGGTGGAAGGCTCACGGGCAGCTGGGATCTGTTAGTACTGAAGCCAGGACCACACAGCTCTGCACAAGCAATTGCACCTCCAGCACAAGGTCTCCTCAGCTTTCTCTGCTGTCAGTGCATTGATACCTTCCTTCAAACTTTTTGCAGATTCTCTGGGCTTGGACACTTTAGACTGGCATGGTGTGCTAGGAGAAATATCTAGGTAAACAGACATTCAAAGCTCTTTTGGGGCTGACCACTATGTGAATCTATGCCAACTTCTTTGGAAAAACTTGCTGGTACGGGGGTTTAACAGCTGGTTAGGCAACTTTTGTTATTTTCTTGAGCTTACTCTCTTACCCTGGAATTAGAGAAAATTGTCAGAAAATGGCCCCCTGTGGTTCATTCTCTTTCTCCTCCTGATCTGGAAGTAACCTCTCTCTCAGACCTCAAGGGAGCAGATGCAGTAGATGCCAGAGATTTAATGTGATATGCATACATCAAACTCCCAAACCTGAGCATGAAAGGATGGTTTCAATCAGGCAGCTCAAACATAACAGAGTTGGATCCAGGCTTCAGAGCAGTTCTATCCAGAGCACAGATCTCATAAATCTTTGGGCATGTTTAGACCTAGCAGAAATCTCTGAACTAACACCAAACCAACAGAGCCACAAAGACAGCTGCTATCAGAAAGCAGTACAGTTGCATTTAAGCAATGGTGTGCTCAAGCTCTATTAATAGTTTGAGAGCAGCAACAAACAAGCACAATAATACTGTTTCCAGAGTCAGCTCAGGGCTTTGATCACCACCAATGCTGTACACTTTGGCCGTACAGTGAACTGAAGGGACAGTATTTGTGTTACAGCTCCACTTCTAATGATGAAATTTAATTCAACATCAGTAAATTTAAAGTCTCTTTATGCATGCCTATGCTGTAAGCTTTCATTATAACCAGTGGAGATCTAGCGAATAGAGTCAGGGGCATCTGGCAAGGGAGCCAGTTCCTGCTAAGGTAGATAATTAGCGGTGGGTGGGCTGGAACACCCTCCAGGCTCTACTGTCTACATCAATTGGATCTCCACTGACTACAATTGGAACTTGGATGTCTGGCTTGAAGGCAGGCATAAATGTAGTAGTTGTTTCAGAGGCTAAGACCCAGCTAAAAGTGACAGAAAGGATGAACTTTAAAAAAAAAAATTATATAT